AGTCCAAAAATTTTTTAAGAGACAGAAAAACTTATCTTTTCCTTCACTATTCTCCATAATCACTGACAAATCAAGCATAAAAAATCCAAAAATACAAAATTTCATACAGAACAAAAAAAAAGCAAAAAGGAGTTTTGATTTTACTTGTGCAAATCAGAAAGGATGACAAGAAGACAGAGGCCTTCGGCTTGAGAAAAGAAGAAGCATGGAGGGTTGCGGCTACACTCGAGAGTTAAAGAGGAGAGAAAAAGACTTCCTCGCAGTTGGACTACTTACAAACCAGAGAATGAGGGAGAGGAAGTGGCATTTAGACTGATTTGCAAAATCAAAACCGTTGGGGAGGGGAATAGTTGGGTCTTTGATTCGGAGAAAGGGAGCGGCTGGAGCTTCGAGTAGGGCAGCGAATGGGAGGCTCCGTTGGGGGGGAGAAAATACGAATGGAGAGGAGGAATCGAAGAGATGGCGCCACCGAACGTGAGACTTGGAAGACAACCACTGAACGTGGAGAAGAAGAGAGGCAAGGGCTTGTCGCAGTCGCTTCTGAACCCAGTAGATATTTCGGCGCTAGAGTGAACATCGTAGTCGCTTCGGCTGGCTGTCCTAGCTTTTCTGCGAGAAGAGAGAAGGCGAGGGAGGCGAGGGAGAGTAGAGACGAAAAGGGCAGAGGAGGAATTGTTACTCTAACGCGAGATCTGAACGCATGACGCGGGGATAGTCCCGCGATCGCCCTTATTAACAAAATGAGGACGCGCATATGGTCGCGGTACAAAATTGCACGACGAACGTGAAATCCAAACAGTGCGGCAGCGTTTTGAGATCGCCGCCGCACCCCAATAAGTCACCCCAAACGGGCCCTAAATGAAACAACTTCAGCTAGTTATTAAAAGTTTATGAGAAACCTAGGGATTAAAAAAGCCTCACAAAATTTAAAATTATTTTTTTCGAAGGTTGAAATTATATAGTAAATGGACCGTTTTGTTTCTATTGATGGAAGAGAAGAAATGAAGAATTGAAGAAGATGAAGTCAGGAGCCGGGAAACCAAACAGAAAGGAAGTAAACAGAAGAGCGAGGAAACGAGGGGATCGAAAGCCTTGGAGTTGAGTTCGCTCTATAAATCGACACGAGATGCGGGAGCTTTCGTGTGTGTAGTTAGAGAGTGGAGGAAGGAAGGAGAAGTGTTGTATGATTTCTTACTCAAGGATACGACGCAGTAAGCCTCTTGCTCGAGGGAAGAAGAGGATTGCAGCTTTGCTTTGCTGCGTCGAGCCGCGATGTCAATCTGGGTAGAGCCAAAGCCAGAACTCTCGAGATGTGTGATGGTAGAAAGGACAACGACGGACTCCTGGTTTTCTGTGGAAGGAAGAAGGCGAGCCTCGTGCAAAAGAGGAAAGGAGGCCGCGCGACCATCTCAAGCATAATAAGGAGGTGAAGCAAGCCTTGCGTTCGTGCGTGGTTAGGGCTCGACTGAAAGGTTATAAGATGAGTTTAATTTTATTTAAATTATTTAATTAGAATTTTATACTTGTTGAGGTGCTTGGTAAGGGTCTAGACTCTGAGAAGGTTGTCGACCATGTGTTGTTTTCTCAGATCTATCATAATTCTCTTGAAGGAAAAATCGACTGTTCGTTTGTTAATAGAATTTGTAGAAAGGGTGGTATGACCGCTCTTATTTTTTCAAATCTCGAAGTTTCTACTCTGATTGAAAATTGTAAATTCACACTCATTGGGAAATTTCAGTTTAGGCATCCCAAAATGGAGGTTATTCGCAAAGCTATTGAGGATCTTAAACTCGTAGGACAATGGAATGTGAGTCTCTTTGATGGGAGACATGTGATAATACAATTGACTACAGACGAAGACTATGCTAAGATTTTCTCCAGGAAATACTTCACCATTGAAGGAAAAACTATGAAGTTGCTCAAGTGGTCTCCTGAGTTTGATCTAAACCAATAACCACCTACAGTACCAATATGGCTTAAGTTACCTGGGCTTAAGATGCCTCTTTTTAATTATCAAACCCTTTATTCCATTGGGGTCATGCTTGGGAGACCAATGAAATTAGGCATACCCACTTTTAATCTCACCATTTCTTTTGTTTCCATGATCCTTGTGGAGAGAGATATCAGTTTACCTGACATTTAAAAAAATTTGAATTGGTACTGCACATAACGGGTACTGGCAATAGATTGTCATGGAAAAAGACCATACTATTGCACCCATTGTAAGATGTTTAGACACACACTTGAAAAATGTTTCAGATTCCATCCTAATTTGAAACCCCAACCTTAAGTGCTTCATCTAACTGTTCAAGAAACACCTATTCCACCGACTTATATGGTGGAAACTGCAACTAGAGAAGATATTGACACTAATTTTGCCTCAAAGGAGCAGTCCTCACTACTTGAGCCCCCTCATGTTGTCTAAAATGAGGATACTCTCTTTTTGGTGTCAGATGATGCTACATATGCTATGGAAACAATTATTGCTGATGTTCAGGGCCCTCAAACCTTGGTGGAGTGACAAGTTTAAGGTGTGCAAGAGACAGGAATAGCCCCTATTGATGATCAACTCAGTCATAAGTTAGGACAACCCTTGGAAGATGATTGACAAATTTACAAAACTAGGAAGAAGAAAAACTTACTAAATGAACTTAGGAATTTACAGGAGGCTTTGCTCTTTTCAGGTGGGAGCCCTCATCACAATTTGGTGCTCAACTCCCTCTCTATAACCAGCGAGAGGAAAGTCCACTCATCATGATTAAGCTCTCTGGTGGACCATTTTTAGCTTTTAGGGAAATTGTGCAGTTTTTTTTTGTATACTTGTACTTTTTGGTTACCTTTTGAGTCTTGTATGCCTTGTGAGTGGGTTCCAAGCAGCGACTCACTAAAACCTTTGTATCTTCTTCCCATCAATGAAATTTTTATTTTGGCAATACAAACACACACAAATATATATATATATATATATATAGAATTACGTAAATTAAAAAAATCAAAATTTTATAGTTTATTTAAATTAATAAATTAATTTTATATCATCTTTATTTTAAGCTTCTAATTTTAGAAGAGTTGATGTGAATACAATTTGAATAACAAATTAACCGACATTAAGGTGAGTACTTATATTCTTTTGCTATAGTAGTATTTTGTTTCCTCTCGACAAAATGCATTTACTGTTACTATTATAGTATTGGATTCCTATGATTTATGATTTTATAGAATTTTGTACATATTATAAGAATAATATTTGTGCTTAGCTTTGTTTAAATTATGATTGAATTTTATATAAGAAATTAGCTGCTATGCAAATGAGAATGAAATAATCATTATTAAAAACAAATATTTTTATTGTATGTTTATATGTGCATGCTTGTTTATAATGGAGCCACCCTTTTATAGTACTAGTAGAGCAACGCTACGGTAGTCGTGCACGTATATGAAAAAGGTTTATAATGAAGTACTTTAACTGGTATAATTTTCACACGATGTTCTTGTGACGGTTGTATATATATAAATTGATATAGTAAGTTTCATTGAATAACATCAAAAACTTGTATTAATTTATTAAAAGCTTAACTAACATACATAATGTTTTTCTTTTCTCTTGTATTACTGTAGTTTAGAATTGTGAGTTTTCACTATTTTTTTTAATTTATTGATATTTTAAATTAACATTTCAGGTTTAATTAAATGATTAAAATATGAATAATAGAAGAAAATATGTTTACAGAAGACACAAACAAGCAAAACAAAATAAATTTAATTATTTTGCTTTATTTTATATAGTGGCTCTTTCATTTGTTAAATAGTAAATAAATATAGAAAACTTAGTGCTCACCATCCATTCGTCTGTACTTGCATTGGTTAATTCGAAGCCCTAGGCTGGATCGTAACAATAAGTTTGACAAAACACAATTTTGCTTTCAAAAGAATAATAACAAAACATAGAAGAACAAGAAAGACGAGAAAAGAAAGAAAGAAAAATAAAAATAATTCATCAAAAAAGAAGGCTTTGTATCTATATTGTGCAATATGCTGTCCTGTTTAATAAGTACAAATATAGATGAAACCCTTCGATCATCTTAGGACTACACCCAATCACAGGAATTTTTCAATCGTGCTATAATGCCCACTAAAACGATAAATTCGTTAGTTCAATCCCATAAAAAGGGCATTTACATACATACCACCCAATTCATATGATTTACATATCTAACACCTAAACTTTGGTTTTTTACATTTATACCGCTCAAAAATTTCATATTACATCAAAAATACCACTATTTTAACTTTTTAAAAGTAAAATACAATTTTTCATATATGTAAAATCTGAAATTTTGGTGTTAGGTGTGTACTTTTATAAGAGTTGAGTGATGTCTGTGAATCTTTCAAAAAAAAGAGATTTTTGTATTAGTTGCAGCAGAAAATTAGAGGCTTGAATAAAAAGGTAAAAGAGTTGCAGATCAACAGTCAAAATCCTGTAAATTATTCAGGGAACCGTGTACCAATCGAAAATTCATTGGCTATAAGGATGATGAATGTATGACAGCTGAAATAAAAGATAATCAATGTTAAGCAGTTGATCAACAAATGTATAATAAAGCTGAAGACAACGAGAGGAAAGGGTAGTAAATTACAGAGCAACCATTGATCAACAGTCAAGGCCGCAAAAGAAGACTACCGAGCCAGTTTAAATGAAATTGATGATAAGGTAAAATCATGAAGATGTGCACGGTGACTCCTAATAAAATTTGAAAACTAAAATTTAAAATGATAACTTGTTGAAGTTTATTTTTGAAAGAGATCATCATAGAGCAATTTTTTTCAGTTTCTGACTCTTGTAGGCTTTGATTTTTGCCTAAAAACCAGTTGTTTATGGCCCCTGGCACTTTTTTTTAGTTTGTTCATTATGACGAATGTATTACTTGTTTTCTTTTCATTATTTGCCCTTACATAATAAGTTATACTTTCGTAGTTATGCTTCTTGAATTTTTCTTTAGGCTGGAATTGAGGTTGCCAAGCTTTTCTTGGACAAAGGAGAGACGGTACGCAATACTTGTAAAAATGTTTAGAAGAATATGTCATATATATCTATTTATGTCGCTCCTACTATGATATTTATTTGCATAGAAATCTGTGCCATTTATTTTAATTTAGTTCATTTACTTTTAATGCCATTTTATCTTTTGGTTAGCCAACTTTAAAACTTTCGGTTAAGCTTAATGATGATGACCATCAGTATGTTCTTTTGTTTTTTTTTTCTTTTTTGTCATGTAACTTAGCTATACCGGATTCATGTGAATTATCTGGATAACTCAAACACCTTCTTACCATAAACCACTTGACCAAATGGTATTGCCTTTGGTCTCTAAGGAAAAATGTTAGTTTTTGAATACTCACAATAAGAAAAAGGTGCTACTCTAGCTTTACATCTATAATGGTGGCTAGAAGTTAAGATCTTTTAGAGTCAACTTCGGATGAATTAGTTTTGGTCATATTGTGCTGTTTATTGAACTCGAGGAACATCGTTTAAAGTTCTTTGCAAAGTTTTAGCATGTATTTTAGTAAGATGGAAGGGCTCTTTAATTGAATGTGTACACAATGCATAAACGACTATATATTTATCTCAAACATAATTCCACAATTCTAATTTCTTTTCTTTTATGTAGTAAAATATAAAAAATACGATTGTTAGATGATGAATTGTCTGTAGGCACACACCACGCAAGAAAGAGCTATAAAACATGAAGTTCCCTAGGAATCTGAGAGGAAAAAAAAAGAAGCTCTCAAGAGTTTTAACAAGCATAGAGTGTTTTTTACTGAAAACTATTTTTGGATCATGTACCTCGAGTTACTCTTCTCTATTTATAGGTTTGGCTCAGTCTAGATGTAATTAGTGGATAATAATAATAATAATAATAATATAATTTCATTTAGGTCGGCTTGAATGCAAGCAACCATCTCAACGATTTTGTTTGAAGAGACAAATGTCTCTTTCAAAACGGATTAAACAAAAAGAAAAAAGTAAAGAAAGCTAGAACTAGAGACCTAAAAAAAGTAAGGAAAACAAATAGAGAGGAATCGTGCTGGAGAAGTCAAAATCCTAGTCAATTGTGTGTGGGTGCTTGCGAGAGGGATGACGTCATTGCATGCTTAGTGTTAGTCTTCATTCAAAGGAGAGGGGAAGAAGAGTCGTGTCCTAGACGAACAAAGAGAAGGCTTCTGTGTATGGGAGGCATCGATACCACCTGTTGGCTTCTCGAAGGAAAAGAGGAGCATCATTTGTAAGAGGGAGGCAAGCAACTTTGAACTATGCAGGGGAGCACAACACTGCTTTTAAGGATCAAGAGATGATATTGAATCGAATGTGGGGCTTGTCTCATGCGTAGCAGGAAGCACTGAAGCGGGACACGTGCACGTTCTTTGCGTGAAGGAAGAAGCTTGTGCCCTAGTGTGCGAGAAGAAGCTCATATGCGTACAAGGAATAGAAGAGCTAGGTCGTACCTTTCGTAAGGTAAGGGTAAGCTTTTAAATTATATATATTGCTATAATTAAAAATCTTATTGTAGTAACATGAAAAAATTTATAAATTGAAAAAAAAAATCTTATGTGGAAGGTTTGGTGGGATGGACAATTGATCCGAGCAAATTTTAGTAAGGTAAGAGTTTGGGTGTTTTATTTATATAAGATGTTTTGTTTATTTAATTAGATGATATTAAGTTGGTATTAATATAATGAATTTAATTAGTGTTTAAAGAAATTTTGATTAAATGAATATGGGCTTTGGATCGTGGTTTGTGCAAACGAGGAGGTAGAGATTAAGAGGCCTTTGAATTAAAGCACATTTACAATTTTATTTGCATTAAAATGAAGTGGACTAAAGCTTGTAAGGTCTTTGAAAAGTTAAAGTGGGTAGTTATTTTATTTGCATTAAATTCTTTTTTTTTTATTTTAAATGTTTCATTTATTTTTACATATTAAAAGCACATTTACAATTGGAAAATAAATAAATAATAATTATTTTATGATTTCAACTCATTTATTTTTTTTATGTTTTAAAATGAAAAATAAATGAAAGTAATGATTTAGAGAAATGAAATAATGGTAAATGAAAACTTTAGTGTTAAGTATATTAGGAGTCACGCTCTATAATACGAGCAAGGGATGTTATTGTATTCATGCACATAAAAAAGTAAATAAAATGTTAAAAGTGTATCCTTATGATATAAACGATCATAGTTATACCTTTATTAATATATTTTGATAGTGCTCTTGAGATGACTTCTAAAATTAAAAGAAAAATGGAAATAAAAAAAATGTAATTGATTAGTTTAAAGAAAAGTTGAGTGATAATTGAAATCAAATTAGGCATTTGCATAATATTCAATGCACAATAAACTAGTAATTATTCACTAAGTTTCTTAAACTTGCTATTTAACTGTTCTTTTAGGAAAGAAGTCCTCTAGAAAGAGATGTCTGATAGTAGAGTTTTATTACAGCAGGAGAGGGATTGTGGATGATAGGTAGTGGTTTGTTTATTTTTCTTTTATGTTATATCACTTTTACTATATTACTCATGTTACCGTAGTAGACTAGATGATACTATTTTTTTAATCAGATGATTGTTTATGTGTGTACTATAGATTTAGCCGGTGAATATTATTGTAAATTAATGTTAATGTTTAGAAATGTCTTTTATCATCCATGCATGCCTTAGTTAACCAATTGGAATTCATTAGATAAGTCGTTACATAAGAAACAATAATTATATTGTTCAAACTGAAAAGTAAAGTAGTTGGGCGTTGATCTGCATTGTCTGTGTGTCTTCACGATCTAGTTTGATGAAGTCAAATTGACTTTTGCTAAGTTAATTAACCCAACTAATTTGCCTTGCTGTTTGGCCAAATTAACTTGATGAATTGTTCACGAATTGATTAGTTGAGTTGTCTGACCGAACTAATTTGCTAAACTGACACATCAATCGGAAACTATTAAGTGTATAGAAGTCAACTCACCGCATGACATGGGTTCAATCTAGAAGGATTTGATTTTACATATATATTTTTTCATTTTTTTCTTATTGGTAATGAACTTTAAAAAGAATAAAGAGAATAATTTTTTTTTATTAATTCACCAATAACTATGTTTAACTATATCTGTCTCATTTATGACATCTACATATTTTATCTTTTTTGTTTTTCTTATTCCCTGTTGTACCTTATAAATAAGGGCTAAAAGGCTCTTATGTTCTCCATTGTCACCAGGTCATCTCCTTTTCACTTCCTTTCTCTTTTCGCTATTCTTCTACATATCAAAAATGGAAGATACTCTAGTTGAAAAGTTCGACTCGAAAGCGAACTTGGTGGCTACGTTGGGAAAAAGAAAGTGAGTTGAAAGTTCTGAGAGGAAGGAGAAAAAGAAAGTTCAAATTGGGAAAAGAAGAGCTTAAGTTCTTAAAAAAAGGACTTCCATCACTCATCTCTATGTAGAGCCTCCAGCCTTTGTAGGGCATTTTCCTGCAATAAAGCCGCGTTTGTTGTAGAGTCTCCAATTACTCTAGAGTCTTCAATTACTATAAAGCCTCTGCCTCTAAACCAATGTTGGACGAATTCAAAGGTATGAGCATTCTGTCAATTCCTAGTCAAATTGAATGAGGATCATTAGGGAAACTTAGTGTGTAAATTTGAAAAATCTATTCACAATATTAATTCAGCACATAGTTTGATGAGAACCAATTAATTTTACAGTCCAGTTCATTTTTAGTGAAGTAATAGGTGAGGAGTGATTTTTTTTATCAGTATGCCCAGCCAAATAATGTTGCTTAGTCAAACGTGAATAAGGATGCTCATGAGAAGATTGTTCAACCTGCTCATGCAAATAGAGAATTTGAGGAGAATGTTTTGATCTACTTTTGGAGTGCTATATGAGTAATATGGGTATTAAAATTTTGTTTTGTTCGATAACACCCCCACATTCAAATGGCCAGAAGAGCATAATGAACTACAGTTTTTAACTCTTCACCATCCATCCTTTGGGAATGTGGGGTAGCAAGCTAGGAAGGTGGAATAACAATTGGGAAGGCTGGGACAACAAGATAGCTGTTTTATGGGAGCCAGCGGGCTGCGGAAGGGGCCTGAAAGGGCTGGACAGTAGGTTGGTGCAGCAGAAAGGGGGTCTACAGTGCAGGGAAGAAGCAGTTGGGGGTGGCCAGCGGCTAAGTGAACTGGAGGAGGAGTAAGGAAGATACAGGGAAGAAGCAGTTGGGGGTGGCCAGCGGCTAAGCGAACTGGAGGAGAAGGAGTAAGGAAGATGATAGAGGAGATACAATCACCACCTCGGAGTAGGATACTTCCGGAGTAGCATCACCTCATCGGATACAGTCCACTAAGGGAAAAAGAACTTTACACAGAAATATGAAAATAACACAACAAAAACTAAACTCTGCATCCATAAAATAACAATTCATAGACTCTTACAAAGGGAAAAAAAGAAAAGGAAAGCTTCTATAAGAAAATCATTGAGAATTAGGGAAAGTGATTGACGGCAATGTCGCACTTCTTAACTGTCGCTCGATGGAGCAGGATGCAGAAAATGCACGGGACGGGGCGCAGGAGGCCGCTCGCCGCGTCAAGATTCTCGCCTGAGCCGCTCGCCCGGGATTCCCCTGAACCGGCCTCAATTGGGCCGATCAGTTCCCAAGCATGAAGATTGCAATGAAAATCATTATCATTTAACATAACAATTAAACTAAATATGTGTTTACAACAAGTTCAATACAACTGGAAACACGGCACTTAGCTTTCCTTGTTTGAAAAGAGTAGAAAAGTTTCCCTAATGATGAATCCAAGAACTCCCTGTAATGCTGTACACTTCTCTTACAAACTTCTCTCAAAACTCTCACAAATCTCTCAAGAAAAAGTAAAAATCTACAATCCCTACTCCTATCTACGACCTCTTGGCATTCTTGGAGAATTTTAGGACTTGAAAATGTCAAAAAGTGTCTTCTCCAAGCATTAAAATCTGTCAAATAACCCCCCTCATTGTGCTGAAACTGCTCTGACAGTGGGCAACGCCTAGGCGCCACCTTCTCGAGTTGCCTGGAGGTTCTGACGCCATGGCTCCAGTGGGCAACGTATTGGCGCCCAAAAGCTTGCGCCTAGGCGCTAGTCTGTTGAACTGCTTTTTGCTCCATTTTGCCTCCACTTTGCTCCATTTTGCCTCCACTTTGCTCCATTTTAACTCAGATTCGCTCTATATGTTCTATCTGCTATACCTGCAAGATAAACATGAAAATATCTTTCTTTAAAGTGCAATTTCATTCAAAAACAAGCGCTAAATATAAATAAAATTAAGTATGTTGAAAGACATATCAGATTACTCTGCTTGTAGGACAGTTAGAGGCAACATGGTTGTAACCATGGCATTTGAAACATTTCCTGGCCGATACAGCGTTGGAGGTGCTACCCTTCTTTTTCTTCTTCTCGCTCTGATTCAGGCTCTTATTCCCATGTCTGGGCTTGCAAGTCTCTGCCGAGGTGCCCTTGTCAGTCATGGTAATTGTAGGTGGCTGCTTGCCTGAAGGATTGACTGGTTCCTACTCTTCTTCTGTTGTCTCTCTACCTTCAAAGCCAGTGTTTGGATATCTCCTAGCGTCCATTATGGTTGCAACTGCACTACATTGCTAATGACGGGCTTCAGTACCCCAAGTTATCTGGCTTACTGTAGACACTATCAGTTCACACATTGGATGTAAGTGATGAACTGGGCCATGAACTCCTCCGCTTATTGATCCCTTTGCTGCAAGTTCTGGAGCTTAAAAAACGTATCCTGACGATAGTGGGGGGTGGATGGTGCTTTTTCTTCGTTGCCGTCTTCATCTTCTCGCACTTAGTGATCTTCTCACTGCCTCTTTTTCTCTGCCTATGCACCATTTTCCACCATAAGGAATTGCTCTTCTTCAGCTTAATGCCGGCTAGCTTGACTCGATTGTCCTCTGGTACATCTTTATATTCGAAAATCCATCAACCAGTCCATCAACTCATTGGGGTCCATACCTCTCTCAAATTCTGGGAGGTCGATCTTGATGCCAAAGTATCATTGACCTCAATAAGAGACCTCTTCTTTCGGCCTCCTTTGATATTGGATTCCAAAATGACATGGTCGATATTCCTCGTCACTATGATCTTCCGTGTGGGACGGATTCATCTCCCCATCCCTGTCTTCTTTTTTACTCTCTCGATCACGGTCGAAGGTAACTCTTCCTGTCATCCAATTGTTCTAGTCTCCGTTACAAATGACAGATTTCTTGTTGAATCTCTTTCTTGGTCAAGTTCTGTGTATCACTTCGCATTGGCATGGCTAGGGTTGGGAATCAGAAGGAAAATATTTGGTGTAGATGGCTTAGGTAGAGGCAGATGCTAGGAAACCCTGGGATGTAATTAGGGTTAAGCTAGCTATGATACCAAATGATACCAGAACTAGTAGGGAGTTCAACGGAAAACACGAAGCAAATTTTTATTGATGTAGAGAGAAGGTTACAACACAACACAACAGAAAATAACAATATAAAACATGAAAGACAAACAAATACATCTACGATGTGTCACAATGGGTGTTGGGGTCGGCTGGAGGGATAGGGATGATGTTAGCCAAGGAATGCGGGTGGCAGTGAGTGGGAGGTGCACAACTGTAGGGATAGCAAGTAGGTGGGTCGTAGGTGACCGATGACAGTCGGAGAGGTGACTAGAAGTTGTTGGAAAGTAAGGGTAGCGGTAGTAGGGTGAGGAACAGTCAGTTGGGAGTGCTGGGAAGGAGGGAGGAAGACAGGACAGTGATGTACGATTGCAGGTAATGGGTGGCTGAGTGTTGGGATGAAGTGGGGAAGGGCTAGACAATAGTAATAACTTTTGGGAAAAGGGGTTGGCGGAGTGTTGCGGTGACAGAGTGGGGTCGGCGACTGAAGAGAGGGGAGGAGAAGATTTGGGGACGGTAAAAGGGAAGGATACAACATCACCTTCGAGTAGGATACAACTGGAGCACAGCCACCTCTTCACGATACAGCCCTAGGACATGGAGGACTCCACACAGAAATCTGAAAATAAACACAGCCAAAAACTGACTCTCACACATAGATGACAGTAATTTATAGACTCGACAAAAAAATTTCTGGACAAAATGAATCGGTTGGAAGGCCAGAAGAATCCAAAAAACACTTTATGGGTGTGGCAGCTTGGAAAGCTCTCCCCGAGATCGTGAACTATCGTGATCCCGCTTCCTGCAAACTATCTTTAGCCCGCCTGCTTTGCGCCTCTTCCTCCTTCGCAAGAGTTCTTCCGCTGTCGCATGATGATTCATGAGTTGGCTTCCCCGCACTTCCGCGCCCTGTTACAGGGCCGCAGATAGCGCCCCGCATTAGGGCGTTGTTAGCGCCCCTATTATAGGCACTGTTAGTACCCCACATCTGCTTATTACATGATAAACCTTTTAAAAATAAATAACGAATTTCTAATACATCTAAGATGTGAATGCATAATTATAACTTCGCCAATCCTGATCATCGGCAACCATATGAAAATTGGCTTGTTGTAATTTCGGCTAGTGTTCCGATGAGGTATTCTTTGCTCCCTCTTGAAGTCTACATGAAGGGAATCCCTGCTACTGGTGTGAGCAATTGCCTCAAGTTAATGACTAATTGGTTATTTCAATAACAATCAATAAGTTAGTATCCTTGTTTGTTTTAATCTTCTTAAAGATTTTGTGAAATTTGACAATTGAATCTTTCTTTAATGATCCAGGTAAAACTGCACGTTTTTTTCTGTTGATGCATTTTTCAGGTAATCTACACTGCTGGCAGGGATACTGAAGTGCAGAATACCATCACTGCTGAAACTTCGCCATTTTGTCGCCATCCAATCATAGTATGCCTTCCTTTTTTTTTCAAACCGATATTCTTTAATTTAATTGTTTTCTTAGCCAAGTAGGGAGTTATTCCATGGGTGGACTATGGGTGGTAAGAATCTGCAAAAGAGAGAATTGTCAGAACAGTCCCCTGACATTTTGTAGGGGTTATTTTAGTCCCTAAGTTTATAAAAGTGTCAGTTTAGTCCCTAGGCTCTTTTAATTGGGCTAAAATAGCTCTCAAAGGACTATTTTAAAAAGTTTAGGGATCAATTTGGCACTTCTATAGACTCTAGGACTAAAATGGCCTTATGTAAATAGTTAGAGGACTATTTTGACACTTCAGTCATTTGCAAAGGCATGCAATATGAACCAAAAAACATACCATGGACATTGGTGGTGTATAATTGTTCTATTCAAAGGGCACTGTTCTAGTCTATTGTAGAAAGTTTAACTTCACTCCAATCTGGTTTGAACAATATTGACGGTGTATTATATTTCTTCTCCATGAATTGCTTCTTGCAGTTCTCTTTGAGGCATTTTTATGATATATATCTTGGAAGTAATATTTTTGCATCTTAATCTGCAGGTTCTTGTGAATAACAAAACTGCAAGTGCAAGTGAAATAGTAAGTATCCACCAATCATTCTCTCTACAATCTTTTCACCTTGATTTATTTGCAATTTATGTATATTTGAACCACTACATTTGACAGCTTTTGTGATCTTTTCTGCTACTTTTCTAGGTTGCATCAGCATTACATGATAATTGCAAAGCTGTCCTTGTTGGGGAGAGGACTTATGGCAAGGTCTGGAAATGTTAATGATATTTTTCAACATAATGCCAACCTGCTTCATTCAATTTTCTTTTCTAATATAACCAGAACCTTACAGGGACTGATACAATCCGTTTATGAGCTCCTTGATGGATCTGGTATGGTAGTCACTATTGGCAAGTATATCACTACCAACCACATGGACATAAACGGAAATGGAATACTACCAGATTTTTCTCGATTTTCCAGGTATGCTAGAACTTTTTATTTTTATTTTTTTGGTGGAAAAATTTACTTGTTCTTCTTAAAAGGTTATTCCCGCTGCAGTAAAGTGTCAAAATAGTTATTTGCTTGTTTTTAGGTGGTCAGTTTAATTTCAGAATTTATTAAGTGTTATTTAGTTTATAAGCTCTTTTAATGAGGACTAAAATAGCCCTCACTGGGGGCTATTTTATCACTTTAAAACAGTTGAGGAACTAATTCGATTGAGACTTTTATAAATTTTGAGACTAAAATGGCCACCTGCAAAGAATCACTGGATCACTTGGACACTTTTTTCATTCTCGTTGCTAACATCTCTCTCTAACAAACAGCATTAAATGAAGTTTCAAACTACCTTTCCCGGTGCCAGATGCAAAGGGTGGAACGAGTACAGGTTTGAATTAAGCTCAGGTTTCACTCAAAAACCCAACGAGATAATCAGCCATCTTTCTAGGCTAAAGTGTGGCTTGGTTGGAAGTTCAATACTTACCGAAGGATCCATAGCATATTTCATTTTTAGGTGTCTTGGGTAGTTACTGGTACTGTTCCTTGTCCATTTGTATAGTGGTTGAACAGGGCGCAGTGGTATTGAGCAGATAAAGCTAAAAACTATTTTAAACTAGAAAAGTTTCATTTACTGTCATACTGTCTTTTGTTATAACTTTAGCAGCCCCATTTATTTATTTATTTATTTATTTTAATTCACCCTTAGAGCTGTTAGGATCAATTCTTATCTGCGTACTTTTGTTGTTTTTTTTTTTTTTTTTTTTTTTTTTTTGAGAAATGTGATAAATCTGCTCTGTTCAGAGCTCAAATCTTGAGCTTAAATAGATAACTCTTGAACAACCATTAGGCTTGTTGCGTACCGGAAGATTCGTGACGGTAGAGTGATAATTTAACTTCTTAGAGTTGCACAAAAATTTAGTGAACACAGATAATAGAAAAGTAATAGGAGTACAAGAGTTTTTATATGAAAAAATCATGAAAATGGAAAAATAATGGAGCCTAGCTTAGTAGAAGTAATTCGTTATTTAATTTTAAGTACCTAAGTCCACTCCCTTGAATTTGTGAAGATGGATTACAAAGTTGATAACTACAGATGTACAATAGCAGCTTATATAATAGCCATAATTGGGCTATAACAAACGTTACTTTTGGTTGTAATAGAAATATTTAGCCATAAAGGCAGTATTTTGTGGCTACAAAGACAGTAGTTGACCATCAAGGTTATGGTCAGTAGCTGCAATAGTGATAGTTAGTCACAGTTGTAGGAGGTAGTTGTAATAGTGATTGTTGGCCACAAAGTTGCAGTTGGAAATTGTAATAGGCTTTGTCGATCACAGAAGCCGTTGTCGATGGTTGCAATTGCTTCAGTTGTACACAGAGATTGTAGTTGGAAACTGTAGTAGTGTAAGTTGTACATAGAGGTTGTAATTGGTGATTGTAATAATCTTAGTTGGTCACATAAATTGTAATTAGAAATCGTAATAGCTTCAGTCATTCACAAAGGTCGTAGTGGTGAATGCTATAATGTCAGGCACAGAGGTGTAGTTGAAAGTTGTAATAATGTCGGTTGGTCATAGAGGTTGCAGTTGTTGATTACAATATTGTCAATTGGCTACATAGGTTGTTGTAGGCAAATTGTAATATTGTTAGTTTTCCATAGAGTCTATAGTTGAAAGTTGTAGTGGCGTAAGTTGGCCATAGAGGTCATAGTCGATAGCTGTGAAAGCGTTAGTTAGCCACAGAGACCATAGTGGAAAGTTGTATCAGTGTCAGTTGACCACAGAAGTTGTAGTTGGTGATTGCAATAGCTTCAGTTTGTGATAAAAGTTGTAATTGGAAGTTATAATTGTGTTATTTGGTAATAAAGGTCGTATTAAGAGGTTGTAACAGTCGAAGTTAGTCACATATATTATAATTGGTGGTTTGACCCTTTCTCTCATTATAGGGGTACAATTTTACACAAGAAACTGCATTTGTCAGCATACAATGTACAAAAAAATATAGGTGTTGGGAACAATTATTGTTTTCTGACACAATGGTCGTTGGTGGTCAGAATAGGGTAGCGATGTAGGTTGATGGTTTTGGAGACCGAAAATTATCGTCGGTTCTTTAGTCCATACAAGCCTGAATTCCTTCCTTTACACTCCCTCCCCCCTACCCTCTAAAGTAAAGAAGGGGTTTTTTATAGTCTTTGGGATAGAGGCATTTTAGTCTTTGGTAAATAATTTTCCCAACCAGCTGGTTAAACATCCCCATTGAACCCCCCACCCCCCCTCTCTCTCAATTATATGAGATTTTTTTTATGATTTAACAGCCTTAATGTCCTCAAAATTAGGAGAGCTTAGCTTTATTGAATCATTCTCATTGAGATGTTTGATTTGAATATAAATGTCAAATTTGGAGTTCATTTGACATTCAATTAATGATTCTAAATCTCCAAAAGTTATTTAATGGCTTGATTTGAACTTGATTGGACTTGGATCAAACCAACTTTGATATCATCGAGTTTATCTTGTCAAGACGGTCAGTTTAACTATAAACTTGTTGAAGTCGGGGCTTTATATGATCTTTAATTTAAATATGGAACGTTTCTTGATAAAAAGATTTATGTTTGATAAAATATCTTGATGACGCATCAGGGCTATACACCGATTCAAAGTAAATTCTTATGTTCACTTCGACCAAAACTTCTAACATTGTCAAATTTTTTAGGCAATCGTTGAGTAAAGTTTGTAATATTCTAGTGGTTATTTTTGGAAGCTTGGGTTATTGATATCATTTGTCTAATAATTGTAGTTATGTTATATTGTGAGCTTACATTGTGAGCTCATATTATCCCTAGTTTACCCCTTATAATCATGAGAAATGTTAGATTCTCTAAAATAATAAATAATTAATATTTTTTTAATTTTATTCAGTCCATAAATAATATGACTAAGAAGGAGAGAGCATTAAATTTTCTTTATCCTTAGACAAATATCAAAATGTTATTTAGATAAGACCTAAAAAATATCATGCATATAAATTTTTTTTAGGGAGTGAAACATTAGCCCATCATACATATGTGAATCTTCTAATAAATCAAAAACTTTTAAATTATGATTCAGTACTCATGTTTTGATGTTTTCCTATTATAGCCACTCTATGAACATGATCAGACATCTTATATGATCTTGAATCCATATTCATCAATTCTAAGAAAATCACCCTACCATTTTTGTACTACTTTGGGTGAAGTAGGGTTCTCTGAATACTTTAATGAGCAATCAGAGAAAGGAGATAATGGCCTACAATTGTGCTCGGGATTGCATAAACATACTTTTAAAGCAACTACCAAGATTCCCACCCGCCTCACCTTCCATAAACAGAGGCTTACTTCCCACATGCAACACCAAATTTGTACATCATAAAGATTCCCAAATGTTGAAAGAGAATTTATTATCATTGCATTGCATAAAATTTAGTAAATGTTCAATGAATGAAAAGCTATTGAGTGGATGACCTTAAATTCAAATCAATGATAGTTATTGTTCAACAAAACTTTTATATGATGGTCCACGATGGAGGGATTGATGTGAGGTAAATGATCTCATTTTGTAATTCCTCTAAACGATGACTAAAATTCTTTAAGTTCTATTATCATGACTTTGTTGATAATGTTTTTTCAATTAGAAAGTAGGAAGGTTGAAGCTTGAACTTGATGTAATGAATGCTTCATTGAATGGTGGAACCTTCTAGCATTGGGAGTTTCTAATGAAGGCTTTATTTAGGACTAAGTGTCATCTTATGCTTTTAAATTGGCATGCCATGTATTTTTTGTCCACTTTGGCTTCAAATATTATGGAACCCTTATAAGGACTTCCAATAAAGAGCATCTTATTCAACATTAGCTATCATTCGAGGCTTTTGAATTGTTATTTCCTCTAGATTTTTTTTGGAGAAGTGAAGATTCATATATACCACTAGTCCTGCCCAAATTCATATATTATGCAGCTCTCTTAAGAACTTGTTAATGAAGAAATTGATCGTCAATAAGTACCTCTTAAGCTTTTTAATTCAATGTGACCTACATAGTACATAGTTTTTAAACTTTCCTTTTGGGGATTTGTATATGATGAGATTCCTTCAAAAGTTTATTATAGAATTCTTCCTTTATATTGGAACCCTTCGAACTTGTAGTTTGGTCCAAATGTTTTCCATTTTATAATAGCCACTCTATGAAGATCTAGCCAAAAGTAGTTGTTAGACTATAATTGTGCTAAAGTGTCACGACCTAATCCGGAGCATAGAATATCAAGGTAAAAATAAATGATCAAATGAAGAAATTACTATTTAAACATTTTGTTGCTTCAACAAAATTTTTCATTTATATATAAATCATCCAAACCATATAAGAGTCATTTATTTTCAAAACTTAAATTTATAAAAAATTCTTTGGATTTTAACTTTTACAATTGGTGCAAAAGTAAAAACTAAATTACTTTGCCTTTAACCTTAGGCTCCTTGATGTTTGTAAACTTAATATTTAGGATCCATTTGCTCTAAAAAATACTCCCCTAAAAAATATTTAACAATTAAAGGATGTGTTAAATAGCTCAATCGGTAAAATACCTTTAAATTATAATAATTCTTATTTTAAGATATATTTTTTTAAAAAAATGAAGTATCAATGTCTTAGGTTTTGTGAGTAACTTAAGACAAAACAGTAAAATGAGAAAATAAATCAAATAATTTTATTATTATTTCTATTTATTTCATATAAATTAGTCATGAAAGAGTCACCGTGTATATGTGCATTAAAGGGACATTTTATAACCATTTCCATAACTCACAAAAATGGTGGGTGGCAATTCTCATTTTCATTTTTATTATTTTGTACATGCATGTGTAAGTTGCTTTCCAAGTCAATGTCGTGCGATGGTGACTCGACATTCAAATATGCATATTCATATATCACATGTTATTGCCATATTTTATTCAACATGTATCTCCAACAATTAAACATATGAAAATATGAAATTTATATTTTAAAGGAGAATATTATAAAAATTTAAAATACTTGCATTTGATTTCAGAAATAAAAGAAATAAATGTAAAATAAAAATATTTTTACTTACCTGCTCTGTATAGTTAGATGTCCTTCCTTCGATAAATTTGTAAAGCATACATCAACGATGGGTGACCAAGGACAGCATTTCCCCCTCCCTTGGTGATGCTCAGGATCAATAAATAAATGATACTCCCAACATAAATAGATTTTTCCCTTTCGAATAAAATAGTTTAAAACCACCATATCCTTAGTCACATCACTGATGTTAGCCAAAGGCAAAAATTTTGTATAATAATATAGTGCCATGCCTTAGGCTCCATATTTAGAGTTGTGGCCGGAAAATTGATCGTCTTCTAGTCTCTAACTTGCCTCTTAGCATGAGAATCATTCAAAAAATTAAGAATTTCAATAAGATCAGAATTAGTGGTGATCCGACTCGCAGTTACGCAATTATTTAATTTTAGAGGTATGACCAAAAGTCGAACCCAATTTATATTTAGTGACTAATGTGCAAAATTAAATATTATATAAAGATGATAAAAAGGGTTTACACACTAGGGGATTACGTAAGTATATGTATTGTTTCAAGTAATATAGGATTTTCTTCAAAAACTCCAATATCGAGCCCACGGGGAAAAGCCAAA